CTGCTGCATGGGTCAGGAGCTCAGCTCAGAGCTGGTGTTGGCTCTGCCCACTCAGCTGGGGCTCCCTGCCCTGGTTGACCTCGCTGGCTCCTTCCCCCCTCCTCGATGTTTTAGGGGCTGTCAAGCTGCCACCCGGCAGGCTGCTCTACCTAGTGCTGTTGCAGGAGCCAGCTCTGTGCCCCCTCTGCCCATGCCAGTGCATCCCAGGGAGTGCTATGAGGGGGACTGGTCTCTGCGCCCCTGCTTGTCCCCTGGGGTCTGTGTCACTTGTGGGTGTCCTAGCGGTCCTGGGTCACTGCAGGATCTGTTGCATCCACTCAGCTCATCCTTCTGTGCACACCCCGGGTGAGGGGGCACTGGGGTGGGGGGCATAGGCAGGCTCATGCCTTTGCTGGCCCATGCAGCTCCTGGGGACAATCTCTGTCTCGCCTTGCAGCCCGCAGCCTGAGCAGCTTTTCTCTTTGCTTTTCCAGGTGCTGAGGGCTCTGCCGCGGCAGCACGATACCCCTCCTCTGACACCACGTGGTGCCACCCTCCACCACCTCATGCCTGGGGACTGCCTGCCTTCACCTTGACGGGTGGCAGTGGGTGACACGGGGTGGCGTGGGTCACCTGGACGGCACCAGCACATCCCATGGCAGTCCACTTGGCCGCCTGGCTGTGGCTGATGCGCCTGGCCACCTGCCTGGCTGCTGGGCACAGCATGGCTGGCAAGAAGGAGATCAGCATGGACGGGGACCTGGTGATTGGGGGCCTCTTCCCCGTCCATGAGAAAGGGGTGGGGAGTGAAGACTGCGGCAAGATCAACGAGCACCGGGGCATCCAGCGCCTAGAGGCCATGCTCTTTGCCCTGGACGAGATCAACAAGGACGGGAGCATCCTGCCAGGGGTGAGGCTGGGCGCCCACATCCTCGACACCTGCTCCAAGGACACCTACGCCCTCGAGCAGTCCCTCGACTTTGTCCGCGCTTCCCTCACCAGGGTGGACGGCTCCGAGCACATCTGCCCCGACGGCTCCTACGCCGTCCATGATGACGTGCCCACCGCCATCACTGGTGTCATTGGGGGCTCCTACAGCGATGTTTCCATCCAGGTACCCCCCAGGCAAGAGGGGCTCGGGCAGGGGGTGGGGATCAGCAGAAATGGCAGTGAGAGTGTGTAAAACCCCAGTAGCAGTGAGATGATGCTGCTGCCTGTGCAGCACAGGGGTGCTCTCGTGTTCCTTGCAGTGATGCTGTGCCCCTTTCTGCCATGGGGAGGGAATGCCAGCCTGGCACCTGAGACAGCCATCTCTCTGCTACTGTGGGGAGGCTGCAACCCTGATGGTGGCCAGGGTCCCCTTGGGGGCTGCGGGGAGATCCCCATCCACCATAAGCCATGGGAGCCGAGCTGGTGTCCCACGCAGGGAGGGGGTTTATTCCCCTCCCGGGATCATGGTGGTACATGCAGATCCTCAGCCCAGGACGAGCTCAATGCTCAGGTCCGTGCCATCCTCGGTGCCACCATGGTCCCGCATCCCTTGCTGCCACCAGCAGGCCTGGATGGTGCAAGCCACCTCCTGACAGCACTGGTACCCTGGCCTGCCGTGTCCTGCCGTGGGCCTGGAGAGGGACACTGGCCCACTCCCGCATGATGTATGCTGCCAGTGCCCGCAGGCACTGCTCCTCCTGCCAACAGGTGACGGGCACAATGCCACCAGGCCTGGAGGTGGCAGGCATTGCGGGTGGCCACCTCCAGTGCCCGGTGGAGCAGAAAAAAAAAGTTGACCGTAGCCGTGCCATGGTTGTCCTGGTCCCCTCTGGCCAACATGGTGCTGGGGGAGCGGCTGCTGTGGTGTCCTGGCACCCGTTGGGTGGCTGTCCCCAGAGGCCACCACAGTGTGGGAGTGGGGTTGAGCTCACATCCAGCCCTATGGGTCCTGTCTCCTGTGGGATGGGTGGTTGGCTGGGCACAGGGACATGTCCCAGCATGGCGGTGACACTCCTGATGTCAGAATGGCACCAGGGACACTGCAGCAGGGATGTGGGGACACCACTCCTGGCCGGCAGAACTGTCCAATGTGACAGGCACCGTCCCCTCTGCCCCCCCAAACCCAAACCCAGCCCGTGAGGTGCGGCCAGCTGCAAGGGGGCGCCTGTCTCTGAGGGGCTCAGCCATAGGGCTGCCGGCCAGGGCAGGGTGGGCGCAGGGTGCCACCACCCCCACATCCCCAGTGATCCCACAGGAAGAGGCACCTCAAGCCTCAGACCCAGCTGTCACCCTGGGTGGGGTGCAGCTCAGTCCCCAAAACGGCAGGTCCGTGGACCTGGGGGTGGTCTC